TAAGGATTTGTTTGATTACAAGAATAGAATTTGGGTAGAAAGAAAACAAATTCTGGGGAATTGAATTATCAAAAACTTATTTTATTGGGAATTGTTAATTAAATGTATTTGATTGGTATAATTTTTCATCTGAAAATGTTCAAATTTTATATGTTTTGGTGTTCTTCTGGTTTTATTTTTCATGAAATTTGTCAATTAAAGGGATAAAATTTGTTCCAATTGCAAATAAAAAATAAAGGTGGAAAACCAATTTTCACCAAAACCATGAGAATTGTTTTTCCACAAAACCAAGGAAAATCCATCACGGGAGGAGAGGGGAGAGGAAAACAAGTTGCCGAGGAAATTTTTGTCATCAAACAGTCTCGAAAGGTGAAAAATGGAAAACGGATTGAATCAAACAAGCCCTAATATGAATTGCTTCCGATAGTGGAAAACTACGTCATTCTATAAAATTAATATTTTAACAAGTTTTTCATTAAAAATTAATGGAAAAAAAGGTAAACAGGGCAGCGACCCTAACCCGCCCCGTCTTAAACGGGTATAGGGATAGGTACATGGCAAGAAATTATCCAGCGCGGCTCAACAAGCCCATTCCCACCCTATTGCCCTTCTTTTCTGTGGATCTCCGTGAGCAAGAGAACAACTAATTCTTCATTTTCAAGAGATTATTTGATTGCATATCGAATGTAGATCCATGGATGAGGCAAGTTCCAACACCCTCGTAAGCTTAAAAAAAACAGTTCTTAAGAGCTCACTGGCAAAGAGTTACGTGTTTGTTTGGATTGCTTTTTAATACTTATAAGTAGTGGATCTAATAGAATATATATATATAAGACCCAGGGGATAGGAGATGAAATAGAAGAACAGAAATTTATGAAAATAGGTACTTTTATTGATAATTGAAGAAGATTTAAATATTACAAGGATAATTGAAAGATATTTGAGAGAACAAATTACAAAGAAAAGTAAAACTTCTTCTTGCTGAATTCGCTCTACTTGAAATGAAATTTTGAACTCCTTTTATAATGAAGTCCGAACTTGAAATTTCTTTCATTTTGAAGAAAGAATCTTGAAAAGAGAAGTGGACGACATCAAAATGGAGCATCTTGAAAAGCAGCATCAACTTTAGTCAAAAGTTTCCAATTTTTGACTTCCTTTAATAAAGATAATCTTTTTCTTTATTAAAGTAGATATTGATGTCTGACACAAAGTTGATGGGAATCTTGACAAATGTAGCACCATCGATTTTGAATTGGACAAAGGTTGAGAAGAATTTCTCTTGCTTGATAGACCCTTGAATGTCTCAATTCATCAAGAAAACTGGGTCCATTTAGTCATTTTGAAGTTTTCTTTGAAGCCTTCTTTTGAGCTTTTGAAATTTTGTAATTAATATTGAGTTTTTTACCACTAGCACCGTAAAGGCGTTCAGTAGTTTTTTCAAAATATTTTGTAGGGATAAGTCCTTCTTTGATACAGTTTTGATCAGCACCTGAATCAATCAAAACACGAGTATTGAATTTGAATTCTTTATTAACTACAATAGTCATATTGCAGTACCATTTCTGAAGTTGAATTCGATTAATAACATTAATCTTTTCTTCTTCAGTTTGAGGAAATTTTGAAGTAGATGAAAAGTCAGATGAAGATGAATTAGAATGATGAGAATGATGTGAAGGAGTTTTTGAAGAAACTTTAGATTTTCCTTTGTTTTGAGAATAATATTCGTTTGTCAAATCTTTTGCTTTAAGGCAAACTACTTCCATACGAATATCTTGAACATGTTTTTCAAGTTTTGAAATTTGAGATTTCATCTCCTTAACTTCACCTTGAAGATCAGGAATTGAAGGTTTAGAAACTTTTGAAAATTCCTTTTGAGC